GGTCGGTCATACCCAACAGGATTTCCTTTGTGACTGTCTCTGGAAAAATTTGTTGTTCCTGTGGTCTGGGGGTTTGCTATGCATCCAGACTTTTGTGTTTTGCAATTGGATTGATGACCTAACTTGTCTCAAAGATTGGCCATGTCTTGAAGATTGGCTATGTCTCAAGGATGGGCTTTGTTTCAAACAATGGCTCACAGATTGGCTATGTCTCAAAAATGGGGGTTGTTTCCAAGATTGGTTTTGTCTCAAAGATTGCCATCGATTTTGCACAGGAACAGGTGTAGCTTCCAGATTGGGTGATTCAATAATATCGCGTGTCGGCCCTTAATCGAAAATTCGACCCAGTTAAGCCAGTATCGTTGGGACTTGGAAACGAAACGCTAAGTCGGAAATTGACAGTGCCCGGTCGGCAGCCGTTTGGCAGCTGTTTTTGACCAACCCGTGTGTTTTCCCTCTGGTGAGTTGGAGGCCTGGTAGTCAGATCTGAGATTAAAACACCACAGGGGGTCAAATGGAATTGGTGTGACAGGTAATGGAGAGACGAGGAAGAAGCCCACGACCACGGCTTCAGCGACAGGTGCACCAAATGACCTCAAAGGTTTCCTCGAGCTTGCGCGCGCAGAATGCGAAGCTGCACTTTGCAACCTCTCCTTCACCGTTGGAACCCAAGAGTACTACCGGCCTATTCTGGGTTTAGTTTTATTCCCTGTTAGATCTGCTTCAGGAGCCGAAGCCGCAGTAGAAGCTCACCTTGGAGGGTGTGGAACCTCATTCTGATGGAGCACTACACCATCGCCACCATTGATGATTTTCAAGGTCATGGTGTTTGATTTCCCGCTCCACTCAGGTCGCCTCTTCTCAGAGACTTTCCCTTGCCGGGCTCTCTCTCTTTTTTGACTGAAGCCAAACGCCAAACCCTGACATTGTCAGGAAAGGATTCGTGAAGAACGAAGTTTCTTGAGCAATGTTTCCCATCACGCCCAGTGCTGAGCACGACCCAAACATGGCAAGTAATTACTGCGCTACTAAGTTTTGTGCAAAAAACTAGTGGAATTCGCCAAGCCGGAGCGGTGATCCAAGGTTGGGCACATCCTTCTTCAACAAGGCCCAAGCGACAAGAATCTTCAGAAGGTTTTGTCAGAAGCCATGGGCTGCATCTATGATGCCCTCAATAGGATCGAGAACGATGAAACAAATCTTAGAGATTTCATTTTCTTAGGAGATTTGGTCAGGATTGCATCTGATGGAAGAGAATCTTCCTAGACTACTTTCCAAAATGAAGTAATTAGTTTTGAGTCACTCGGGGCCTTGTGGTGGCATTCTACTTTGGATACCAATGCCCACCCATGCCCAACCTTGGCCCTGGTGAAAAACACAAAGATTCGATGTGAAACAGACACCTTTGCAGGCTCCCATGTGGCTGGAATTAATCAAACTTAAGCAAGTGCTTTTGGGCACAAGATCAGTGGAGTTGAAAGCTCCTGTTCCTACCTTGTGTTGGCACGGTGTGTGTGTGTGTGTTGTCATGAGTAGCGTCCAGTCACTGACCACGCTCAGAGCTCTGCGTCGACCTGCACACATCTCTCTGAAGACTTCAGGTTGGGGTTTGGACAAAAAGGTGCCATTTCTGGAGCGCACCGCTTCTGATCGGACAGTTGCAGCCGCAGTCAAACGTACTTTCCGGTGAAGGTGTGAACCAGGAAAAGTTGTTTGCTGCGCACAGTCCTCAATCCAGGGTAGGTGTTCCGGCGATTCGTTGTTCGCCATTGTTGGCTATATGTCTCTTGTGGCCGTGGATCACCTCTCCGACGATGAGTAGGGTCCCCAAGTGCGTTGTTTGATTGCTACATTGCTAATTGAAAACGTGGGAAGCCTCTCCAAAACCATGCCCAGGCCCATGACAAAAAAACGGATCTTGGAGTATGAGCAGGGGTTCCGTCCACTTCCAGTTGAGGTGCAATGCTCTTGGTTCAAAGTCTTTGAACCTGATACCAGCAAATGTCATCAAATGTCCAGTTCTTTTCTTGCCAGGATCGACTGTCGAAGTTTGGGGTCCTCAGAGACCTTGGATTCAACCAATTCTGGTTCAAGTCCTACCGACCTTGGTTTCTACCGCAGCTAACGAGCAGTTGGCCGGATATTCAACTTGCAGCTCGATAGAAACTCATGCTATAGAGTGGCCTGTTTTTGAGCAGCAACAACAACAACTGTGCCTTTGAGTTCGTTTTGAAACAATGTTTCCCCAAGCCCCAAGCTTTGGACTCAGCAAATGAGGTTCCACCAAGATCCAAGCCGAAAGGGAAGCGTCCACAGTTGATCACCAAGCCTACAAAGGTAAGGTCTTGGGGGACCATCAGCTCCGACCTCAGAGCAAATTCCCTCCAATAGCCCGCCTTCATGCTAAAGAAGTTACTGAAGTTGAAGCGTCGACAACAAAGCCTGCCCCCAAGGAGTGTTTGGCGCAACGAGCAAAGCGAACAGCCGATATTTGTCACTGAGGGGCAGTCGTGACCGAAGTTGATTGCTTCAATCTTCTTCTTTATGTGTTCTTTATGTTCTTCTTTATGTGTTCTTCTTTATGTGACCGTTCTTATGATATGTATCATATACGAACAAAGATTGGCGGCGGAAACATTTTGAACTTCACGTCAATGGTGGATGGCTGCAGGATTTTGCAAACCAGGTCTTCCATTCCAGTTGCTACACAAGAGCATGCAAAGCAGCCGGCCAGAAGAAACAGCTCTACGCTACGCCTAACATTGCTGAGTTCATGTCAGGCATGTTGGCACCCATGTCAGCAATGCTTCAACAACAAGAACTGAACTCCTCTTCCCTGAGTCGTGACATGTCACCGCTGCCTTCAGGACTTCCCCAGAATTGGACATGTTTGGAGCCTGGCAGCGTTCGCGACAATTTGAGCAAGATCTATGATTGGTCAAATGGTGTTCAGGAGGCAGGGCTTCATATGAATTTGAGGTCCCTTCAAAGTGTGGTGGTTGCACTATGCTTCACATCTCACAGTCAACGATTGAAATGTCCAGGCGAGGCGGTACCCTGTGCTTAGCCTTTTCTCCGGCATCCTTGGTCTGGACCTAGGCCTCAGACCGTTCGACACTTAGAAAATGCGGCTCCTCAAACTCTTCATTCGAGCATGTGTGGCCAGTCTCGCAGATTTGTTTCCTGTCGAGGTGCACAAGGGCGGTTGCCTACGTTGGGAACTTAGATCTCCTGACTCAGGGCTTGCGTGCAGTTGATTGTTGCCACTCATTGAGGTGGAGAAGAGCCCTTATTGCCAGGAACTCATCAAGAGCAGGATTCAAGACAATCTGGGAGATGGTGCCCCAATATACAGTGATGTTTGCCAGTTTACTTGGGACCAATGCCCAGAAAGTCCTAGTGGCATAATCGGCGGTTTTCCTTGTCAGGCAGGAATCTTCAACTTCATTTAAAGATTGTGGAATCCAGCTTTGAGCTTCATTGCTTCTTTTTTAAGCCACTGCAGAATGTCAGCAGTTGGCAGGGGGCCAGCAAAGCAGGCAAGACGCAGTGCCTGAACGATCCCAGAACTGCACTCTTGGCAGAGTTTTGGCGCCTCTGGGACACCGGCCCATCTACTCTGATTCTTTGATTGAATGGATTTTAAGACGCAATGTGTTCCTGGCCTGCGCGTTAATTTCTATCATGTTCACCGCCTCTTCAGGCAGTGGATGCTGCTCGAAAACGTAGCCCACATCGTCAGCCAGAAATGCCGCAAGGTGATGGATACGATTCTGGAGGACAGGGTGTTGACATCCTTTGCAGGACTAAAGTGTCCAAATTTGATTCAATCAGGAGTCTTGCCGGAGGGGATTGGAGGTCAAGTATTGCTGCGTCAACGGGCACGAGATTGGTGCTCCAGTCCAGGGCTTGACAATGGTCTTTGCATGTGATTTTTGTTGAGGGTTGCGCAACGTGTCAAGGTGTGGAGAGAACGCACATTTGTGCTTATCACACGGCCAGAGTTTGAGTTCGGAGAGGTTCCCTGACAGTGTTTTGTTCTAGAATCACATTCTGCGCGGGCAGCGTTGCCAGGGACATCGCTGGCTGACCACAGAACAAATGAAGGCCATGTCGCAAAGACCGTGGATGAAAGAATCTGGCCGCCCTGAGCTGAAAGATTGGCTTGGGCCCAAGTTTTCCCAGCAAGATCGCGAGCGGATCGCTGGATGCGGCAATGTTGTCATTCCTTTGATGGCTTTCTTTGCTGTGATTTTGTTGCAGCGCAGCCTTTTGTCAGAGGCTGATTACATTTAATTTGTAATTTGTTCAGAGATGTTCTGACCGTGTTGAAGCTGAGCTTTCTTAGAAGCTGAGCACGACCAGTGAGATAGCATTTCCCTGCCGCCGTGTTTGTTTGAAATACCTTTGCAGGTTAAACCTTGAGTTGCCTGTATAAGTAACCTGTTTGCGAATCTAGATTTGAATCTTAAGTTGCTTGGCCTAACAAATATATTGAGAGAACCCATTTGCGATGCATAGACTTTGCAATTCCAAATCATACACTGTGCGGTTTGCGCCAGCCACACAAGATATATACGCTTACCTCAATGACATGGCATAAACAGGTTGTCAATCAACTGTTCTTCCCATATGTGCACAGCAATGCAAAGATTTCACTGACATGTGACTTTTGAAGTTCCTGTTTCTTCTGTCTCCGGCCTTGTGAGTCCAGTTTGCATGGCCACGGCCTCAATGGAGGGCGCAGCCAACCAGTTTGAATTATTTGTTCCATGAAAGGACAAGGGTGACTGTAAGGAAGGATAATAATCGGGTATAGTGGGTATCGGGTAATAAAGGGGTTCTCTACATGTGGCCTGACACCGCCGAGATTCATCAATCACGCGTTTCTCTTTCTGAGCCCAGGCCCGTTGCCCACGTGGAAGCCTGCCGTCCGCGTGCCCATTTCTGAGAGTGTGTTTGCCAATGGTCTGATGAGACTTTTGTCAGTACCATGCATATTCAAACCCGCTCTGGGCATGATTACCTGAGCTTCAGCAAGAGTGGCCAGTCTCAGGCAGGCCCCAATTAGAATAAGTCATTTCGCCAGAAACCATTGGATTGAATTCAACCAGGTTTAAAGGCAACAACTAATTCCATTTGGTACACCGAGTTGAAAAACTACCAATTCTGTTGGGTACCCCAATTTGTAGCCCAACTGAACTCAAGCCTGCGCTTAGGCTGGAGCTCCGTGATTTCGACAACGACCGCCTCAGCGTTACAAAGCTAGAAGTGGGGCGCTAAGCGGGCGCAAGCAGGAGAGGCAGTTCAGTTCTGGTCATGATAAAAGCATTCATTCTAGCAGTTGGCGGTTTAATCAGTGGATCAAAAGGGAACCGCAATTCTTTGGCCTATTTTGGTGACCCGTGGTTTGCGCGTTTGGCCTTTCAAACAACAACTATGCGTTCGGAACTGTTCCAGAAACCTTTCGGTATGTTTGGCATCAAAAGCTTCGAAAGCCTGCTCAGGTCAGGTGTTTCTGGCCGCGCAATGGCATCGGAGCTTGGCGCTCGTAGAGGACATCAATACAATGAAACATCAAACTGGTTCAGTTCGTTTGCACATGAGCCCAAGCAAAATTTGGGCATCCTTTGCACTGGCTTGTGCATTGTGTTTGAACCCATCGCAAGCATAAGTTACATGGAGATGTCATTCTGTGGGACTTCAGGACATAAAGCAGTGGGCTTGGATTCCAGTCTGCTTCTAAGCCATTGGGGGCATGATTCGATGGCTAGTGGATGTTTTGTTTTGGCTCCCAAATTCGGTGGGGTCAGTCACAAAGTTTGACCCTGATCAGGTGTGGAGGGCTCCATTGGTCATCCTCACTTCGGGAAAGGTGTGGGTCTCCTGGCTTGAGGAGAAGAGTTTGTTTTGGAATGCGCTTGTCAGGGGAACATCGAAAGGATGAAGCCATGGTGGCACCCTCAGCTCCAAAGGTGGAAAACTATCACAATAACTTTAAAGGTGTATAAAGAAGGATGTTGGAAAACTCCCGTGCTTTGGAACATAATCCGATTTTGGGCTCCGCGCTCTGCCGGCCACAGCACCTGAAAGGTGCGCTCAAACTCCTGGTGCTCTTGGCTTTGATCCCAGTTGCACTTGCAAAGAACCTTTCTGGCCACTCAGCATTGGGGCTTTCAAAGCAACCATAAATACGTTTCAAACTAAATACATGAAGTACTCATGAATGATTTCATGTGGTTGGCACCGAACCACAAAGTTAGTGCTGAATTCTTAGTACTTGTGATGAAGGGTTGCCAACACTGCTTCCAAAGCTCATTTTGAGCTCTGTGGTTCCGGGCGTGGAGACTCACTGCGTCCTGGTTGGAGGCCTGCCCAGCTCAACGATTGCCGGTGTTAAGGGTGCAATTGTGTGAACTGTACTCTCTGCTTCTTGTCTGGTCTGACCCAGTGGCTGGCAATATGGAAACAAAGCGACAACATGCGACAACATTGCAACATGTCAAAGAACCTCACATATGTTGTGACCCTATGTGTTTACTGCAAATTAAATCTAACAATGTTTCTATTTGATTCTATTTTTCCGGATGCTCACTCTTGCTTGACACCACACGCCGCCTTGGAGCTGGGCCTGGTTGCTCTGGGCGGTCTCGGCCTCAAAGGTTACAGCGTTGACTCATTTTCACTTGCTCCGAATCTGACAACCTACACCTCCCAACCTGACCTCAAACCTGGACCTAGACTCTCAAGAGACTCTCAACCCCCGATGCTAGGGTCCCAGAGCTCACCGACCCAGGCTGGAGGCTTCTGCTCGTGGCCTGGTGAGTGGAGGCAGGTTCAATCATGTTCAATCCGAGCAAGTTGAACGACAGGCTTCTCTTGTGGCTTTTCGTGCTTTTGCAACGTCAGATTGTCCCCCAATCGCTCCTTTACCAGGCCAATGCCTTTAACAGCAGTGCATGAGCTCAGCGATGATGAGGCCCAGCCTCCACCAAAGGCTCCAGGCTTGCCAAGCTTTGTTCCTTTCCGCCGACGAGCTTCAAGAGGATTCAAAAAGAAGGTTAGCAAACCAACCACAGTGAACCCACAAGCTTTGAGGCACCTGATCAATAGACCTTGCGGGTGTTCGGCTGGTGACTGCTTTGGTCCTTTTAGGAAGGACCGGTTGCTTTGGGATGCTTTCGTCCATACCCGGAAGAGTTTGCTGAAGATGTCGAAGCTGGAGCAGGACAAACATGTGGGGGCCTGGGTCTTTATGTCAGTTGTCAGCTGTGTACACGTATATTTAATATATTTTTATATATCGTCTTTGGAAAGTAGGTTGTTTGCAATTCAATTCTGCTTGAGAGCGACTTGTTTGGAAACTGCGCTGCTGAAAGTATTACTTCAAATTAATTCCGGGTGACTCTGTCTTCACCCGAGGTGTTCGACATGCTCAAGGAGCAGTCGTTGATCTCTGGCCCTGCTTGCCGAGGGGCCAAGCACCTATGCTTTGAGGACCAGAGGGTCTGCAATCGGGCATGGATGAGATTGGTGGGGCTTGGAAAGTCAAGGTTCCAGTTGCTTTGGGGAGCTGTTCGGAAAGGCAATGATTGCCCATACGACGGCAGGTATATCCCAAGAGGACCGGACCAGGTTCCATCTGATGCAAAGAGCAAGGTTCACTCCTTTCTATCCACTTTGTGGGAACAAATGGCAGAGCCACTGCCTGACGGGATTAACAGCAACAAGCGCCCTCGCCAATCCTGCTATAAAATAGATCCTCCAAGCATGTCCCGTGACCTGATACGCCACCTCCCCTGTGGGAGTATATCTGATTACCACCGACAATGCATGGCAGTGCATGGGGACTCGATCAGCCGCAAGTTGTTTGCGACAGCATCTCAACTTAAATATTGTTGTATCAAATTTTGCATTTGGCGTGTATTTCTATATAGTTGGTCACCATCAACTAGTGGCGTTGCCAAAAGCCTGTGGAATCAGGTATGGATGCAGAGCTTCCAGGGTCGGCTGAGAATACGGTTTCAGGGACATCATGCACGCTGCTCAATCTGCATGAAGCATCGTTTGATAATCCGCAAGTGTGGCCACTGCCCCGCCGCAAGGCGGGGCCAGATGCAGCAGCTGCAGGCCCACCTGGCCCGTCAGTACCGAGATCGCCAAATGTATTGGCATTTGAGGGCAAGCAGCCGGCTAGAAGCCACAAACCCTGAGATATTTACAATCTGCGCCATATTAGACTCCATGGACATGGCCAAACATGCCTGGCCGAGGACTGAACTGATCCTATCGAAGGAACTATGCAAATTCAATCGACCCAAACTCACGTCGACCAGTCTTTTGATACACGGGCACGCTTGTACGATCAATCTGTCACCGCATTCAACATCGAGCAATTCGAGCAGGAGCGCAGAACTTGTGGCGCACGGTTTGACCGTCCTCGCACGACAGATCGACCTGAGGAGTGCAACTTTTCACCTTCAGGGTGACAACGCATCCAAAGAGTTGAAGAATGAGACCCTGATAAGGGTCTTGGCCCTCTTCACCTCCAGACGCATGCTGCGCGCTGCGCAGCTAGGATTCCTATCCTCCGGCCATTCCCATGAAGACATTGATGGGATGTTCAGCTTGCTGAGAAGAAAGATCGAACAAACCCGGGACATCCCCACGCCGGATGCATTTGTTCGAACTATGCAGGAGTGGCTGGATGTGGAAGAACACCGGCCCCAGGAGGCAAAGTACCGCAAAGCAATGTTGGTCACCCGGTTCCAGGATTGGATACTTGGCGATCATATAATCATATATTAAAACATTGATATTTTGCCCTGCGTTGCTGACTCTAGCTTGTACGCAATGTGCCGTGAGGAAGAACTTTCTCGGAGAGAAGTTCAGCAATGCTCATGTGGTTGGAATAGGGGGACCAGGTGCCCCACACCTGTTCCGCCTTGAACGGATTGGCGAGTCAGGACAGGGCCATGAAAGAAAGGGTTCTTTTTTCGATCTTGAACTTGGCAGGAATACCTCGAGCTAGCGTGGACGATCGCTTCTGGAGGCGCAGGTCATACCAGCCACACCCGGACGATGTGATTCTCAGGACAGCTGTGATGCTAGATAGAATAGCTTAGTTGCAATTCGATGTTCATTGTATTGGGGGTTTCGTTTCTTGGGAAGGACCAAGCGCTGGCTGTCTGATGGATCGTTCAGCCAAAAGGTTTTCCTATATCTTCCGGCACTAGTGGCCCGTGCAATTGATGGAGACTCACCTCCAGGCGCGGCGTGGTTTTTAACACTTCACTTATGTAAACATTGTTCCAAGACAACTGCAGCGTCGGGTTCCACTGCATGTCAAACTCTTGCTGGCACAGTCTTCGTGGAGAAGCCCCACAACCCGAACTCAGAGGAGGCAAAATCGTTCAGAAAACATGCCAGAATTATGCGCAGGAGTCTTACAGGATCTGAAGCTGACAAGCTAACAAGGTTTGTTGAACCTCAACAAGAAAACGCTATTTGTTTTAATCCCAGGCCAGTACCCCTTCGAGATGACTGAAGCAGCCGACGAATTGGAGCGTTATGCTGATGGTACTCAATATCATCCCCCACTTTTGGATGTGTCCTGGCGGGCTCCCCAGCAGTTTAAAGGTGAAGGATCTAGAATGAATTCAATGTGTAGCTACAGCATCCCTGTCACAGTGCAAGAATTCCCTTGGCTTCCTCCGAGGGCCTTGCCATACGCTGGCCCCACAGTGGGTCGCCCTGCGCTACCTCCACCTGTTGGCCAGGATCTGGAAGCCGCAAGGCTCTGAGTTGATTGTGGCTACCGGTGGTGACCAAGTCTCCTCAATTGAGCTTTGGGTTTCAGAAACTTGTTACACCTAGGCGCCAAATGTCCTCAACATCGTAGCTCAACGACCAGATAGAGATGAAGCGCAACGATATCGGAACGCCCGCTGGAAGCAGTCCCTGTACAAAGCCGCGTCGCGCCTGTGGGCTCTCGGAATGCCTATGGGCAAGGCAATCCGAATTGTGAGTGAAGCCACGCAAGCCACAACAACTTAGGCAGTGTGGGGGAAACACACTGCGTGCCGTGACCTATATAGAAATCATAATCTTTCAGTCACCAAAATACAAAGAATGGAAAGACTCTGTACTCCGTACTTCTCAGTTCTGGGGTGGTCCGGCACCTGTTCCTAGCTCAGAGCGACTGCTGGGACAATCCTAGCAGTCGGCCTTTTGTGAAGAGTGGTGAAAACATCTTCGTTTGTGAAGCGTTCCCCCGTGTTTTTGTGAAGAGGCCTAGTTCACAAAGTTCGTCACTGTGCGG